GTCGCTTTGCTTGTCTTGCTATCGATACAGAGATTTCATTTGTTCACCTTTGCTTTTAGTGAGCCACTCTCTGCACTGATCTGTCCGAGCCAGTGCAACTTGACGTCTTGCATAGTTGTTCTTCTCACGGAAAATTTTATGGTCATCAACAGACTTTGATTATTGCCATTGCTTGTATGCAACTTTCTTTTCAGCTATTGCATTTTGTACACTGTCATTCCACCACCAAGTGTCACGTTCATGCTGACGTTTTGTACCAGTTTTCCCACAAACTGTAGTTGCAGCGTTTATCAAAACTGTTTTGTATGTACTCCAATCTGTACTGGATTGCGATTGGTGGTCTAACTGTGTGGCGACAATCTGTTGAAATTTTTCTCGATAAATATTGCTTTTCAGCTTCCACGTTTTGATTCTCCGAGGCATTTGTTTAGACTTATGTTTTGACAGTTCGACAACCAGGTCTGCCACAAGGAGTCTATGATGGGCAACACATGATTCACCAGGTATAACTTTGACGTTTTTGAACAGCCTTCGGTGTGGTTGCTTGACAGCAAAGAAATCAATTTGCGTGGCTGATGGTCCACTTTGTATGTTATGAGATGTTCCAACCTCTTTCTAAAATATGTGTTCAGTAAACAAAACCCGTGACTTTTAGCAAACTCAAGGATGCGGTTGCCATATTCATTCCGTTTTCCATAGCCAAAACCGCCATGTACGTTGTCAAAACCATCTGTTTTCTCTCCAACGTGGCCATTGAGATCGCCTCCAATCAGGATTGTTTCAGATTTTGGTATTGTTGAGATGGTGTCAGAGAATGCAGCCCAGAAGTCATTTTTCATCTCTTCTGATTCGCCTGTCTGTGGTGCGTATGCAGAAAAAATAATCATTGTTTGCTTTTCTATGCGAAGCTTGATCCACATGACACGTGAATTAATCCTTTTAATATCCAGTACTTCTTGGGCTAGCGGTTCTCTGACAAAAATTCCAACACCATTTTTGGCCGTATTTTGACCATTCCAGAATAGTTTATATTTTTCTTTGTCTGAGTTGACATGACAGACACCATTCGATTTCCATCGGGTTTCCTGAAGTCAGCAGATGTCAATCCTTCTTCGCTCAAGCATTTCTGCAATTTCCATGCTGCGGCCAGTCAGCGATCCCACATTGAGCATTCCAAGTCTCAGTACCATAGAGAGGCCATTCTGAATTTTTCGGCAACATCCCTCAACTATTGCATACGTACCAGGGATTCTTGGCACCCTTTGACCACTTAAGGCCTGCTGGGGACTAGGGGTCGTTGTTTTTCTTTGTGATGGCATAAGAGTAATTTGGGGAAAGTTTTTACATCCGGACACCCATCCTGACGACAACCACCAGTTATAGCGGTGGGCCTAGCCTTTTGCTCAAAAGCTCGCAAGGCAGCGTGGATGCAGTTTTATGTCACGCCCAGGACAAATTAGAATTAAACAAAATAAATTTAAATTTTAAAAATTGCTGAAAAAACGACCATAAAGTAAATCAACAAAATAAAAAGCAAGAATCAAGAATCAAAATGTATACAAGATGCTACAGTTAAAATAACTGTTTAACTATATTAAATTATCACAACCAATTGAAATAAAATATGAACCATAATAACATCAAATCTTCGATTCATGGCAATACCATCTAAAAAAAGATAAATTACAAAATAAAATGTTGAAAATTTTTCAATTAAATGATTGACAGCAGCTGTAGCAAACTCATCGACCTCCAAATCTTGTGAAAGCAAATTATCAAATGCTCTGTTTAAATCATTTTCGAATGACGTATAATTTAGATGACGAAAGCAACGACGGCAGCTGTGGATGATTGTCGATCAATCAATCATCGTTTAGTGTCCAGAAACCCAGTTCTCCCGAGGTAGGACGTTGTTTTCTTTGCCATCATTTTTTTGCGCCAAATTAGGCGATCAACAACAACAACACACGTTTAGACGACATTTTCACCGAGATCGGGGAATACCCCTCGACGCCATTCACATCTGTCACTCGCCTCAGTATCACACAACCCCGCTTTCACTCTGTCCTTCACCACCTGTTCTCTCCATTTCAATCGCGGACAACCATTTCCTATCACTCCTTCAACCTCGAACTCCAACGCTCGCCTAATCCCGACCCTTTCATCTTTTCATCCCTTCTCAACACATGTCTATAATACCGCAATCTCGATCTCCTTATGAATGTCACAATGTCCTCATTCAGTCCCATCAGCTCTGTACAACTCCTCCTATCCTTCACTTTAACCCCACACATCACCCTCACCATAGCTTTTTCAGCTCTCTGCAGTACACTTTCCTCCTCTCTCCTCAGCACCCAAGTTTCACCACCATATACCATGGCTGCTCTCACACATGCTTTATATACCCTCCCTTTCATCTTCACTGACCATTTCTTTCCACACAATACCACACCCAGTTCCCTAAATTTCATCCATCCCACACGAACTCTTGCCGTAACATCGCCAAACTTCGTCCATTCGCGTTCAGCTTAACCCCTAAATAAACAAAGCTTTCCACTTTTTCAATACCACCACTCAACCCCGTCCTTGTGTCCGTCCTTACTTATATCTTACATTTGAACGTGCCTTCCACCTTTTTCAGTGCCCCCCTCACACCACTACATATCTTATGCACCCACTTTTGACATCCTATAACACAATACCGAGTTAGCCTTCACTCTCCTGTTATATACCCCACAGGGGTCTATTTTACTTATCACTTGCTCCCCACCTTCCCCACTCACCATTACCTTCGTCTTACCAATATTAACCTTTAACCCTTTCTTTTCGATAACACTTTTCCCTCTGTCAAATTTTAACTGCAATTCTTCCATGCTATCAGCCATCAAGACTAAATCATCTGCATACAAAATCTCAAATAAAAACCCCTCCATTATGTTCCCACACACAACATCCATCACAATTGCAAACACTGATCCTTGATGCACTCCAACATTAACACTAAAAGCGTCCGAAATCCTCCTTCCGACCCTCACCTTTGTCTTCGCCACTTCATACAGCTGCATCACAGCTTTAACAAGACTCTCATTCACTCCTTTCTTCCTCAACGCCCAAATTTCATCCTCAGATTAGGCGATCAGTTGTGTCCATTTCATTTAAATTTAGAGATTTCATGTCTTGCCCAATTGTTTGCGACCAGGACTTCTTTGGACGGCCTTAGGAACGTGTGCCAGGTACTTCAACATCTGCAAGAGAAGTTATGGCACTGTTT